AGATTTTCATATCATTGCATTCTGTTTTTATTTACAATTTGCACAACGTCCCAACTTCATTGGAATTGGGGTTGTATGATTTCTTTACTCAACTGAATTCACAATTTAATTCATATTTATGTAATTATTATATTTATTCATTTGTGATTTATGTCATTACTGAAATTTTATGTATGGATTTTTTTAAGGTAGCAGGTCGGTTTTTCAAACTGCCTGCAGGCATGATCTGATAACTACTTTTGTTAGATGATATATTGTCTCAGAAATCAGCTCGGTAGATAATGATACTGTCATTAAGACCATTTTGTGCCGCAGATATTACTGCTCAAAAAAATTAAAGGAACACTTTTTAATCAAAGTATAGCATCAAGTCAATTACACTTCTAGGATACTGATCTGGGGTGAGTTTCCCGAAGCGTTCTTAACGCTACGTCGTTCTTAAGTTCTGTGTTAAAAGATAGAACTAACGAACGACGTATCATTAAGAAGGCTTCGGGAAACTCACCCCTGGTTAGTTAAGTAGCAGAGGGGGTTGTTAATCAGTTTCAGCTGCTTTGGTGTTAATGAAATTAACAACAGGTGCACTAGAGGCGCAACAATGAGACGACCCCCAAAACAGGAATGGTTTAACAGGAGAGCTGCATGGGCAGGGCCGTAGAAGGTCCTTAACCCATCAGCAGGACTGGTATCATCTCCCTTGTGCAAGGAGGAACAGGATGAGCACTGCCAGAGCCCTACAAAATGACCTCCAGCAGGCCACTGGTGTGAATGTCTCTGACCAAACAATCAGAAACAGACGTCATGAGGGTGGCCTGAGGGCCGGACGTCCTTTTGTGGGCCCTTTGCTCACTGCCTGGCACTGTGGAGCTCGATTGGCATTTGCCATAGAATATCAGAATTGGCAGGTTCGCCACTGTGCGTTTCACAGATGAAAGCTTGAGCACATGTGACAGACGTGGAAGGGTCTGGAGAAGCCATGGAGAGCATTATGCTGTAACATTGTTCAGCAAAAAAGTTATCAGGTGCTCAAGGCAGAAAGAGAAAAAATAAAAGGAGAAGGCGTAAGAGGGGATGCGGCAAAAAATGCTGTTGTGGGTGAAAGACAGAAACAGGTATGAACTTGGGTATAGTCTCCGCCACTCTCTCCCCCTTGGGTATACTCTCCGCCACTCTCTCCCCCCTTGGGTATACTCTCCGCCACTCTCTCCCCCCTTGGGTATACTCTCCGCCACTCTCTCCCCCCTTGGGTATACTCTCCGCCACTTCATCCAACTCACTCCAGAATTTTTCTGTCTCACACCCAACTTGCAGAGCGTATCCACTAACAACATTCATCATCATGCGCTTATATCGCACAGCATAATCACTTTGGCCAGATCACTTATGTATAGATTATGTACAGTTGAATATATTTCATATATTTTTTTTAATTTTATATTGTAATCTTTATATTTTATATCTTACTCTCGTTTTCCATGTTCTTATTCTCTTATCATGCACAACTGCTCGGAGTGACCAGGGTCACATTTCACTACATGTTGTATGTGTACAACTGTGTACGTAATGAATAAACCTTTTGAATCTTGAATCATCACGCCTTCAGTTTCCACCTACATACTCATAACTCTCTCTTTACCTCCAAAACACTCTAGACATACTCTTCCTTCAGCATAACTCCTACCCCATTTCTCCTCCAATTCACATCATGATAAAACAAATTGAAACCACCTCCATTACACCAGGCCTTACTCCCCTCCCATGTGGTCTCTTGCATGCACAACAGATCAGCCTTCCTTCGCTCCATCATACCAGCTAGCTCTCCCTTTTCCAGTCATACTGCCAACATTCAAAGTTCCTACCCTCACTTCCACTCTCCTATCGTTCCTCCTCTCCTTCTCTTCTCCTTCGGCCAACAGTAGCCCAATTTCCACCAGCACCCCGTTGACTAACAGCACTGGAGGTGGTCGTCGTTAAGCCGGGCCTCAACCGATCTGCCATGGAAATCTGTATTGTTGTCCACATATTGATTTGGCTTGATTTGGTTTTACATCAGATGCCCTACTGATGTAACCCCCCCATTTATCCGCAGCACAAAGAAATACACTGGTTTGTGCATCCCCAGTGGCTGGGTTGCCCAGATTGCAGAACTTTATTCCAGTTAGTCCAGTTACTTAATCATCCAGTGTATGATATTTGTAAACATTCTTTAATTGTTTATAAACATTACTGCCAATATTTGTCTAGTAATTTTTAAAGCACAATGCCAAGTGTTTCCCCACATTTGACCACAAGTATAGTTTAGGCCTAGTTTTAGGTTTCATTAGTTTTTATTTTAAAGATGTAAATCTATTAAGTTGTTAAATAACTTACTTTTATGTTTGAGTAACTTTTTAAAGATAGACAGAAAGCTGTAGGACTTTGCTGGCTTTTGAAAAATGTCACGATGTTGTGTTATTGACTACACTATATGGACAACAGTATTGGGACACCTGGCCATTACACCTACAGGAACTTTTATGACATCCCATTCTAAATCCATAGGCACCAGTATGGAGTTGGTTCCCTCTTTGCAGCTATAACAGCTGCCACTCTTCTGGGGAGGCTTTCCACAAGATTTTGGACTTAACAGACGGCACAATGCAGTCAGGGAGGTAACTTTCTCCTGGCATCTGCCAAACCCAGACTCGTCCATCAGACTCCCAGACAGAGAAGTGTGATTCGTCACTCCTCAGAACACGTTTCCACTGCTCCAGAGTCCAGTGGCGGCGTGCTGTACTCCAGCCGATGCTTGGCATTGCACTTGGTGATGTGAGGCTTGCATGCAGCTGCTCAGCTATGGAAGCCCATTCCATGAAGCGCTCAGCATTCATAAAATCATCACATTAGTCAAATAGCATTTAAAAACAGTAACAGGAACTGTTTGAAATTTGTTTTTATTTTATTTTATTTCAATTTCTTTCAGAAGTTTACTTGTAGTTTTTATTTAATTTTCATTTATCTTTTTATTTCACTTTATGGAATTTTTTTTGTTAATTATTATAAACCTGCCTGGTGTACTGCAAGTACATAGTGCACGGTTAGTTTTAGCAAAATTCTTATTTACTCTTGCGACATCCACCACACTTCGCAAACGTGACTTACGAGAACAGCTTTGCTCTACAGCGCTAATTCAGGCCAGACATCAAAGTATAGTATAGACCGGCGCTAGGAGCGGACGGTCCGGCGCTACGACCTGCGGAGAGCCAGAGAGGGCAGAAGCGGTGCGACTAGCTGGGATGTTGGTGGCGTTCACTCTTGTGTAACGTATTAATAATCCTATTTATAGCACCGTGACGGCAATATTGGTTGTCAAAGTGATGGCAAAAAAGTCGGAAGTTCAGTTCTTTAATGCAACGGGTTTTGTTGCATTGTGTATTCCCCACGTATTCAAGTTAAACGCCTGCTTGTTAATTAATCAGATTTAAATTATTTCCGCTACTAACTTAATTATAAAAGCAGACAACCAAATTCATGGCATAAGTTAGGTTACTTAATAAATGTGTATAATTACTACTATTGTTAAACTTGACTGTTTTAAGGGAGTGGTCAAGGGGCTAAAAAAAGGATATCGATTGTCCTTACATTGTTTTATTTTTATGTACATTATTTAGGCTATTATATTGTCTTGATTGACCTATATTGTTTTGCACCCAAAGTAAATTCCTTGTATATAAAAGTAGACATACTTAGTGATAAATAAGCGAGTCTTACTGATTCTGCTCTCAACTTCCTGCTCTCGCTTCGTGTCGTTGACTGAAGTCATCGGCGAAAGAAAGTGCGTTTGCCGCACTCGAGGTCCATACTGAAGCACAGCACGCGCTGTTGAAAGACTGAAGATGAAAAACAGCTTCTGTTTTACAGTCATCTTTCTATTGTGGACAAACCTCGCCAGCGCCGGTTTGTAGCTTTTCCATAACTCTGTTTTACCTGGAATCAGTTAACAAAAGTCAATTCAAGTTTTAAAATTATACCACTAATAATAATAATGATAATAATGATGATGATGATGATGATGATAATAACAAACAGAACAATAATAATGATGATAAATTATTTTGATCTATTCTTATGATCTATTATTATTTTGTATTATTTTTATGTCTAATAATCTGTTTTTAAATGGTGCAGTCGAAACAATTGACATTATCCGTTTATTAGTTTTCAAACAGGTTGTAGTTATAGAACAGCATGGTTGTTATTTAAAATGTATTAGATCATTGTATTTGTCCCGGATTTGTCTCCTACCCTGTAACTGTATCATACAAATTTCACTGTGTTGAAAACACATTAGACAATAAAACTTGAAACTTAGAAGAAAAAAACTTGAACTTGAAATACTCAAATTTCTTTCATGTCCTAGGCTACGATTCTAATACTTGCTCTACAGGGATATTATACAGAAAAGTTAAAATGTCATTTTAAATGCTAACAGTTTCACTATAGATATCGAATTTCTTGGTCACGTATAGTAACAATTATTTATTTACTAAGGAAAAGGACTGACTCGATTGAATATGACCTGTTTTAGAGCTTCCGCGCTTTAACACAACATGCAATAGCCGATTATTTTAGGAAACGTAATCAGAGGCTACAAAGGAGGTATGATACTAATTTAGGCTAATTCAGGGCAATCCATAAACAGCTTGATCAGGTGTGGTCCTATATTTTTGCATCTTAAGTTTATTCTTAACATAATTAATTTTCTTAAGTTTTTAACATACTTAATTTTGTTTTTATCTACTTTGTAGTATTTCCGACACTTAATTGCTTTATTTCGCTTAAATTATTTGAAAACCTGAAAACAGACCAAGATTTCCTATTCCATAACGGCCAATGGGCTCGTTTTCTTCGACTCTTAAGAGAAAGGATGAGGAAATCTTTGGTTTAGGCCTATTTTAAGCAGTCTCGGCAAGGCGAGTGTTGCTCATTTCCTCTATGTATAAAACGCACGGCTATCGGTAGAATAGCGCTTAAATGTATATGTGCACCGTGCACACTGGGTGGGACTGACGACATCTGACCCATCCTGTTTTAACCGCAACGGGTAGAAAAGTCCGATATCGTGCGATTATGTTTCAAGTTAAATGAAAAAAGAAGAGGCACTCTTCATCCATCCATCTCCCAAGCGCGGGAATGTGCTCTTCAGATGTCTCGTATTTTTTTCCGTACTTTATATAGTTATGTGGTAGGAACGATGTCATATCACATATAAGATGATATTTGTAACAAAAACGGAAAATTGCACCTAGAAGCAATGAATAAATTCCGCATACAGCCCTTTAGGCTGCATTTGGAATCTGAATTTAAATATCTAGTGTATCCACGCCATGTGTTTATCTTTGTAATCTATTGCGGTTAAAGACAGTATGAGTGTTTGACAGATAATCACATTAATGTGAACTTAGGCAAGTGAGATATCTGCACATTTGCGCTTAACGGACTGGTGTACGTGTGTGTGTGTGTGGGGGGGTCAGTTATTTCAGGAAGTGCAACTTTTCAAATTGATGACCTAGCATGATGACCAGGCTCTTCCTCTGCCTTGTGCCACATGCTATCAGTTATAGAATCCAGGCACTACGTTGGATGGTTGTTGAATATCTCATGAAGAAGAATATTGAGTTTAGATCAGTGGTTCTCAACCTTCTTTGCACTATGAACAAATTTGTACCATGCCAGCTCAGCTAGGATCCTATCTGAAGTATAGGTTTGAATGAATGCATTAACGCCATGATCAAGCCCTCAGTGCGCTCTGCAGTTTACGCCAATCAATGCCTATTGCACAAATCTGATTGGATGTGCCAGTGAGTTTTAAATTAAGCATCTGCGGTTCGGCTTCTTGGATTGGTTGAGTGCTCACTAGTTTTGCACTAAGCAGTTGCAGACTCAAGACCCGTTTATATGGGTTTATTCTAGGATTGAGGCTGGGAAACCTGATCGTGGATCAGATTTCCCACTCTGCCTCATGACTCTTCCAGGACTTGCCCTGACCCAAATTTTGGAAACGACCCACTGGTTGATAATCTCCTGTTTAGACCACTCAGTCTTACCTGATAACTGCCATCTAGGGTTTCATGGTAAACACTTCTTGCTCTTAGACAGAACGGAATATTCACATGGAGAATACAGTAGCATGACCATTCTGACAATCACAACTCTGCTGTGAATTTTCTGCATATTTTGGGCTTCTTTGGACACCCAGTGCTTTTCATTTGGTTGCGCGAACGACTATGATTGCTGGTGTTTGGCATCTGTGAGACACACTTTGGGAATCATTCTCCTGTCTTATACTTGTTGCCTGTTTCCTATGAAAAGATGCCCTGGAGACCACAAATATCTGCTATGTGCTGGACGGGATCCTGTTTGTCTACGGCGTCACCCTGACTGTCTTGTACTGGAGATTAAAGGTAATACCATGGAAAGTACTAACAAAATGCATTAGGAATGAGGTTATCATGGGCTGACTTACAGTTAGCAGGATGAGGAATATAATTGATATAATTTAAACCTAGAGTTAGTGCTAGCAGACTTAAGACTCCTTATACATGTTTTATTCTCTACTGCAAGAAAAACCTACACAGTCTGGCACTCATATGTCTAAATTTTTAATATACTACTATTTATATATTTAAGTGACCTGTTTTTGTGTCTCCCACAGATAAAAAAAGCATCAACGGATAATGGACGACTTTCACAGGTTGCTAAATATCTGTTTTTTTATATAGCATATGGTGTATTTGCCCTTAAACTTAAAATGATATATTATCCCTTATTCTGTCTTCTAATATTTAATTCTAGTATAATTTACCTTACAAAGAACTTTGTGGTCCTTTTGGTTTGTCCTTCCACAACTGAAGATTTTAATGGTCATCTTTTCTAAGCTTTCCCAGCCTGTTGCCTCTTGCCACCCCTTCTCCAGAGGGATTTTTATGCACCACTCTAGTAGTCTAGAATTTAAAAGCAATTGTGTGATAAGCTGACAATGGCTTTTCTGTGGTTGAAACATTAAGAGAGGCCAGAAGTAACTGGGCACACAAACAGGAAAGCCACAAGTGCAAAACACACAGCTCAGAACAATCGTGTGCAGACAGGCTTTTCTGAATGCAACCTTGGAGCCATTTCTGGGGGCAAGAGGGTCAAACCTGGTACTGGTTTTTTGAGGAGGAGGGAGTTAAGTTAAGTTAAGTTAAGCTAAGTTAAGCTAGCATGTTTATCTAATTAAGTTCCTTTTCCTTTAATTAGCAGAAAAACGCAGAAGGCGAAGGCATTTACACCGTAAGATCATTATTATTTTCCTTTGCTAGATCATTATGATTATTATAATTAAACCAAGAACAATAAAATAATAAAGAATGGCCTCCCCTTCCCTCAGGGACTTACATGTCAAAATGAGGACACATACGAGACCATCGAAATGAAGAAGAAAGGAATGGTGTGAATAGAAGTGACGTGATCAAGATGTACTCCTCTCTAGAGAAGCAAAAGTCACAAAGTGACAAAGTATCTGTATAACCCAGCTAGCTCAGTTTCTGTACATGTCCCTCCGCTGAGATGGTCTGCATTTGGTGTAATATGCTCTGTGTCTGCTTGCAGTGTGAGAAAAATGTGTTACTGCTTAAAAAAAATGTGTGCTTCTTGTGTTGTTGCAGACACCTTTAAATCTTTTTTTTATTACAAATGCAATAATGAATGCTTTCGAACTTTATTTTTAATTAAAGTAAACTTATTGTAAGTGGTCTGAGTTTTTTTTTTTTTCATTGCTTATTTTTACATTTTCGATTTTTGTCACCATGGCGACTGGCCCCTCCTTCAAGCCACAAGGTCCAATCTGCTTCCTTTTCACGTAACCACAAAGAGGGCCTGATTGTGTGGATAGTAATGTGAGAAACTATTTCTTTGCCTCTACATTTTGCTGCAGGGTGTACCAGAATGCGAAGGGAAGAAAGGTGTGGCTGTCACTCGTCTGGTGTTAGAGGTACCAGAGCTCTTATCGCTGGTAAAGGAGAAAGCAGCATTACACGTCTCCTCACTCAACCACCACTAATGTGTCCCTCATCATGAGAAGAGAAAAATGAGCCAGTGTGTGTCCAGACAATGGCTTCCTTAGATCTTCTCATTACATGTGTGTGGTTTTAAAGTCAGTCTATTCATAAAGTAATAGCAGGTAAAGCTAATCTCTCACACGTTCCTGTTTGTCTTTTTTACACATTACTGAAGAATATTTTAATTGCTGCAATTTCGATGTGCCTGTAGGGGTGCAATTCAGCCCCTACTTGGATTAATAAGTGGTCATGATTCCAGCTTTACAGAACGACCATATGAAAACAAGTGACAGCCGCACACTTTGACTGACAGGACAGGAGAATCGCCTGTCACTGCCAAGTAATGACACCAGTCACATCCATGGAGTCCACTGGCTTGTGTTCTATGCTGGCTGGCAGGGATGGGTTACATGCACCCTGTGACCCTGTACTAGCTAAGAGCTTGGATGTTGGGGGGAGCTAGATATTCAGTCTGATTATTAATGTCCTTCAATTCATTCATGCATTTACCCTCAGACCGATTGTCCTGGTGAGGTCACAGCTGTCTCAATTAAAGTGCTACTAAAATGAGTAATATAATACTTTCATTTGGCAGTATAATCTAATTAAATGCATATAAGATTAAGAAACCTCCCTTTTAGGTTTTGTATTAATTCCAAAATTAGGCACACAAAAAATTCCAAACACACCTACAAAGCTATCTTAACTATTTGTGCGCCTGTAACAAAAACAAGCACTCATCAGCACATTTCCGTACATCTATCTTCTAACCACTTACGGTTTCAGCGTCATTCGGGCATCTAAGAAATATGACAGAATGTACCACTAGAGGGGGCACACGTATTTCTACATTTGCACGCGTTACTATAACTTTTAAATCTGACGAAAGATTAAAAGATTTAATAACTATCAGATGAGAAAAATCGCATGTTCGTTATCTGTCAGGCTGTTAAGCTTGAGTGCAGTGTTCAGTCTGATGAGGGAAGCATACCTGACTCATATTTTTTTCCTATCTGACTCACATATTATTCGTAATTGCGACGACTGTTGTTATGCTTCATGACTAGACAGGTGAACAGGTGACAGATGAGCTAATGAATGCTTGGAGGACTGATCTGACCTACCTTCCCAGACTTTGGTGTCACCATCACTGTCAAACCGCTGGTCACAGAGAACACTACATCTTTGATGAAATCCTACCAGTTCTGCAAAGTGACTGCCTCAATATAAAACGTAACAGGCATTAACAACACGTAAAACATTGACTCGCTAGCCAGTGGTGCAGCCTTCTTAGTCTCGGGACTGGAAGACACCGCTGGCCCCGACCACACCAACAAAACGATTACAAACACATTGCTTGTAAAGCAGCACAGTCCATTCACTTTCCCTGCTCCGCCCACACGTCTCGTACGTCATTCAAACCCCGCCCACTAGTTGCGCAAATTTATTAAATTCAATGAGATGTATTGTTATGAAAAAAAACAACTTTGTGTTGTTAAAATCTTTAACATCGCTCAAAAAGCATACTTAGTTACACAAAACGACGATTTCCCCTTTTTCTGCACATCAAATCCCGCCCTGTTCCACGGGGTTATTTCAGTTTAATACTGGCGCTTTTTTGTTTGCTTACTATTTTAAGTGAAAATGTGTGTGTTTTCATCATACGTTTGGGGCGTGTGTGCAGATCCTAACATATACTTTACAATATAAATAGGCACTTCTTCTTCACATAGGGTACGTATATATTTCCAGCGAAACAACGAGTAGAAATATTTAAGTAGCACAGCATTCAAAAATCCAGTCTAGTAACAAAAATTCCTCTCGATAGTAATGATCACCAAGTTTATTAAATTATGCTGGTTATTATTAAAGATCATGTTGATTATAATAACACTTAAACAATGCGGGAGACATGCCTGCAGCACAATAAGTTTCGGGTAATAGTTAATACAGCATAACACTTTTTTTAACTGGAGGAATCTAACTTGTGAAACAGGTTCTTGTGATCAGGGCTGGGCCAAACATAACGTGTCAGATTCAGTGACTTGGGTTGTCTGGTGTGTCTATTTCAGCATTTACCATCTGTAATAACAATCTTATCCTAAAAGCAACGCTTTTCAAATGTACGTTTGGGTCCCACCCAGACCAAGTTGGGGAAATTAGACACGCAATTCCGACGACAGACTTAAGTCTCTCACGAATATCTAGTTAGATCCCCTGTTTTCGAGAAACGCATTCGGGTGAATACGTCAGAGGGATTTCACAACGCTTTTCCTTTTGCGTTTTCATTTCATGAATGAGTTGAATAGATGAATACACACATATGTAAAATAATAATAAATAATACATAACCCATTGGTTTTGATTTTATGAATCTGTTATACACACACACACACACACACACACACACGTATTCCATACAGGTGTACATGCACAAACACATAAGCCATATATATATGGAATAGGCCTAGATCTATATCTATATACACACACACATCCGATACATATATATATATTTATGTGTGTGTGTGTGTGTGTGTGTGTGTGTGTGTGTGTGTGTGTTTACAGTTCACACTATAGTAATCAGAAGTCTGGATTCCTTTTTTCCTGTGCAGAAAGACGCACCCTGAGCCTTGGCGTCACGCAGTCACTTTTGACATGGCAGTGCTGCGTGAGTGATCAAGGTGAGAGAGTGAGCAACAGGTGTATCAGCTCTCAGGAAACTTCCGCTGCAGCCTCGCCATGGGGACTCTGCCGGAGCTTGACGCAGGGTATGAAGTCCACCGTCTCGCCACCTTCAAATGCCTTTTCTCTGTTAGAAAGTCATGTGCGCCTTTATAAGATGTAGACTAAAATGGTCATAAATGTCCGAAACTAGACAGATTATCAGTCTACAGCGGAATGTCAAAAAAAAATCCGTACGTCGCAATTGGATACCACTTTCAGCATTAACATTGATCTGTTTTTTTTTTGTTTTTTTTTACTTACAGAGTTGGCATTTGCTCGGTCCTGGAAACTGTAGCGGTTTTTATTTTCTTGATGTTATTTAAAACTGGAAAAAGTATTTAAAGTAAAAAGCGAAAGAAGAAAAGCTGAAGGTAGGCTATTTGTGGCGGAACGGAATTCTTAGAGAGGCTCCCCAGCAGTCATGCATAGGTCCGGGCGAACAGGCGCTCCCGTGGGCCGAGCCCGAACCTGAAAGAACTGATTCCTGCGAGGAAATGCTGGAGTGGAGCGGACATCAACCCTGGGCAGCTGGACTATCATTCTAACGATATTTAATATTACTTTGAATCTTCGCTGATCCAATCTTATTGCACTGAGGAGCGGCCATCAGTTTCATCGTGGGGGTGTACGGAACGGTACCGGAGTGGACTTCGCGAAGTGACCGAACAGAACTGCTGGACTTGTGCAAGATGACATTACGGCTTCCAGTGGGTCTGTTCGTCTTATGGGTGATGGGTAAGAAAGGAGCTGATATTATACTTGAGGGCGTCGGAACCGGGGGACGGTACGGGGACGTGTGCCGGCTAATATTTCATTTCTTCCTCCGATAAATAGACCTTTGTACTTAAATTATTATGCTGTGTCCCCTAGTATCAAACTTTCTCCTTTGCCACTGAATACACTTACTGCAGTAATGCATATTGTTATTATAAATTATGATAATGCTAACGGTAATATGGTTATTTATATTTTGAAGAACAACATGGAACTTGATTTAAAAAGTAAATGCATAATCGGTTTAAAAAAAGAACAAAATTAAAACGCCCTTCTCTGGCTGCGCTCCTTACGTTTGTGTTTTCCTGCTCTGGAAGCCTCCTCTAATATTTCTGGAAAAACTGGTTGCTGTTTTTCAGTTGGCCAATGGTCTCCGATTGTCTTACCACGGTGCAGCATACACCCTACGTCCCACACTCTCTGCTTCGTTAACTATATGTCTGGTCTCTGGACTTTTCTCTCCCTCTCTGTGTTACACACACTCACGTTCTCTGCTCACTTTTAATCTCTGAATTCAAAGCATTTTATTCACATTCCTGTTTCAGATGCAGTAGTTATTTAAATAACAGCAACAATCTTCAATACTAGACCCCCCCTGTCCTCCACTACCTTCTCTTTCTTGTCTGCCTGGCCGCTGTGTGTGGTGATTTAGCGGATCAGTCGCTGATCCTGTTGTTTAAAGGGGGTTTAACAATGCCCCTCTCTGGCTGAATCTTTGAGGTGGGGTGTAATGACTGTTTTCGAATGAGCAGGCAGGAACCCAGCCCTTTCAGCATCAAACTCTGATGTGAAGACAAATAATCAATAAGGGTGAGAAAGATATGTGACCTCATGATCAGTGGGTGGTGGATATGGTTGGATATTCCATGCATTAAAGCCAGGTTTCAGAGTTTGGTTTATTCTCTGCATTCAAACTACCAGCAATGGGTCTGGAGGTCTTAAGTCTTCTTCGCTGCAAGATATTATTTGCTGTTTTACACTCGCAGACAGCGTGGGCTCTTTGTATTACACAAAGATGTACATTTTGTGTAACGTTAGTTTACTTTCAGTGAATTTTTCTCAGCTTTAACGGATTCTGTTTATAAGATTCTTTCATCTAATATACGGCCCAACCGGGGGGATTTGAAACAATGACCTTCCGATTCATAGGCACAGTGTCATAACACAGCACCTAGTTAGTTAAAAAATAAGTAAAACATATATACATGTTGTATATTCATAATTATGAATCAAAAATGTGTATATATATATTTTTTCCAATTTTCCCAGTATAATGTATAATGTGTATACATGTTTAGTCCTGTTTGACATGGTAATAAACATCCGTCCATCCATTAATCATTCATACTGCTTGTCCACTGTAGGATCACGGAGCCTGAATCCTACCTCAGATACCCAGGATGGGAGGCTGGGGACATTCTGAATGGGATCTATGTCTAAAATACGCAACACAACTCAAGAGTATATTTCCAAAACTCACTCAGTCCACAGAAAATGATTTTGGGAAATTTAACGATACTTCTTTGTTGGATTACATGAGGACTGAGTGAGTTTTTGTTCCCAACACTGTAACATACTATGAGGAAGTCTGAATTTAGGTCATTGACAATCTCATCTCAAAAACAACAAAATGTAGTTTCATTCTTTTTTTAATTGCCTCTTTAATTTCCGGGGAGCAGAAAAAATGCATAATATCCGTGCATTATATTAAAAAACAATTAAATAAATAGACCTACCTAAACTTATCTAATTATTTGAAAGGAACTCTGGAGCAACTCAGCATTTGATGTTATTTAATATTTGCTTTAGTAGCAATGCTTGTTTAGGAGCTGAAATACTACTGCAGCTACCTTATAGTAGCCAAATACTTTGAGAAGAAAAAATTTGCTTATCATTGTACCTGCACAAATGTGCACACTAAAAATACTTATGAACTTCTGAATTTGTTTCTTGGATGAAATGGAAGACACTTTAGATTTTTGATTCGTAATTAAACTGCACACACAAAAAAACGTACATCACATTGTTTTCACTCTTCCTGCTGGTACCGTCAACTTTAGAGATACTTTCCACTTTATATACGTGAGAGAGACCATCTTTGGAGTCGGGACATGACCCCCAGCAGCTCTGGGTGGGCTAAGAGCCTGATCATGAACCTGTTCAGCCACTGCCTGCAGATCCACGACCTTCCTGACATGAACACAGGACCCAAACCCCCTGGACTAGACACCCTGTATATTTCACACAAGATCTTGTTTACTACGTGACGGCCCTCTGCTCAAAAAAAGCTGAATGAAACTTAACTGTGTTTTCAAAATGCTTCCAGGTGTGGAGCTGGGCTGGAGATCTTTGCGGTGGTTTCTGGCCTGGTGTTTTATTAATGCGCTGACTGTTCTGAGTTTGGAATTTCAAGGGGGCATGCAGACTGTAACCGACCTACGGATTTATTTCCTATTCTTAAACTCGGTTTAAATTTTGATATTAAAATAACGTTCGTAGTTCGTAATAGTACAGTGGATCCCTTAGTTTGGTGTGTAAGCTGGGGTGGATCAAATACATTATCTGGTATAAACGTGATACCTGGTGGAGATGTCGGCTTCTTTCCACGTCTCCTCTCTGATGGGTGATTATTTGTCGCCCCACCTACATGTGACCATGCCACACCCACATTCCATTCACAGCCATTACTGGAGCCGGTACTCGGTTCACAGTTCGGTTACTGCTGTTCTACAGGCCTAAGTGAGCTATTTGAGGCTTTCATTTTAAGGCCAAGGCACCAGCGAGACTGTGGGATTAGGGAGGAAATGTGTCACTGTCTGTGTTGTAGCAGGTTTACAATTTGCCGGTGTTTACTGTAGAAGTGAGAGTCACTGCGAGACAATACAGTGATGCATGACGTATTTGTGACCTTGTAGCGGATGAGTGTTTGGAAGTTGGATGACGTTTGTTTGGGCAGAATCCAATGCATGTACATATGTGATGGGTTAGGATGTTGAGCCAGTGATTGCAAAAGTTGCTGGTTCAAATCCCAGGGTCAACAAAGTATTTTCACTCTGGGTTCTTTAAATGAGGGCCTCAACCCCAGTTGCTTCAGAAATTGGTTGACCCTGCTTTCTCAGTTTGCTTTGCGTTTGGATAAAAATGTAAAGCAAAATAAATGTTGGTAAACAATGTAAATGCAACATCTGTGTTCTAATTCAAAAAAAGGTTTTTATTGTGGTGCTATACAGTTTGGTTCTCAAATGCAAAATAACCTCACCGGATCAGGTTCCTCTCCCTGTTCTCTTCTAACCTTACATTAATTAACAGAATGTGCACATCACACGGAAAGAAAGTGCCATGCGCTACCAGAAAGCACACATGCGGCGCTCCTCCAATCTCAAATATCACAAAATGTGAAAAACAGTAAGAATACTGGTTTCATTGGTCAGAAGAGAGTCTGAGCTCGGCTGAACAAAACAGACAGCTGCCTTGGTTAGCACTCACGTCTCGGAGGAGGAGTTGAACTCCGTAACACCACATTTCTTTAGTTAGCAATAAGAATGTTCTGCACGCTACAGTGCAGCCATCAATAAATCCAGAACCTGAACTGCAGGCATCTTGGTGAGCAGCAAAAGACTCTCAGGATTGTCCTGTTCATGCTGGTTTTAACTGATTTCATTCATTCCTGCTTTTTTTTTTTTTTTTTTTTTTGTTTTCCATTATATGTAGGTGCTTTTATTCAAAGTTAATGGTTTTAACCATTTCCACAGCTGGAATTTTTTTTTACTGTTAATGACCGTGTTAGATGTCTTCTAGAAGCAGCTTTGTACTGAACCTCTACACAGCTCGCTGCACATCCTTTTTGCTTAGTGTAATTAGTAATTGCATTTGTTGCTACCCTCATAATTTTCTCAAATCTTTGAGAGATAGCACCTATTTCGCAATAATCATCTGTTCTCCATTACAGCGTGTTTTATATCACATTTTGGTGAGGAAGTAAATATGAGCCTGATATTAGAGGAGACTGGGACAATTGTTGATTTGTTTTCTTAGAAATTTTTATAAAACGTAGAAAAATGACACAATGGTGTGGGCAGTGGTGTCTTAATGGTTTGGGAAGCACGCTTGTAATTGAAAGATTGCAGGTTTGAATCCCTGACCAGTGAGGCACCACTGAGGTACCCTGAGTGAGGTACCACCCCCAAGCACTGCTCCCCGGGGGCTGAATTAGCTGCCGCCTGCTATGTCACATTGTCACATATGGGTTAAATGCAGAGGACACATTTTTCTGTTCTGCACTGTGTGCTGTGGTGTGTCAACAATGACCACTGATCACCTAATTCTAAAAAAATCCTGTCAAAGTTATACTCAGACTCATACTTTGAAATTCTGGTCCCCATAATACAATGTTACCTTGGCCCCCCCTGCCCAATATTACATAGAATTTTACGTATTAAATGGCCCCTGTTAAGTTCTGGCCCCCCTGAATCTGCCAAGGTATTTTGCTCCTCCGTTGCCCCTGGTCAGAAGTGTAGAAACTCATTCATTCAAAACAAACATTTATATTTAAATTAAGTTACGCCCCCCTCCCCCAATATGAAACTCTCTTCTACGCCATTGGCCCTGGTTATACTAATATGCTACACATTGGTGGTATTTGGGGGAATCTAAGTTATGCATCCCTGTGAACAACTAACCAGGTTGTTCAACAATTGTCTGCGGTCTCTCCTTCTAACTGAGTAACTTACAGTAACCGCTGGAGTGCAGCGGTCTGTGGGCTGACAGAGAAACACAGAGAGCAGAACTTTCAAATGAATTAGTCGTACTGTAACTGAAAATAGGCGGAGCTCTGTTAGTATAATAAATGATTGTTTGCGGTAAAACTTGTTGGAGGGGTGAATTTTTTTTGTTGAAATGCAAAAAAAAAAACCACTATCCATATACGGTTTGCATGTAAACTGTGCTTCTGTCTATATAAACTATATGTGTGTTTTCTGGGGCAGAATGTGTATTGTGTGTTGTGTGTTATTTGTTTATCGGCATGAGTGTTGGGTCAGTGTCTCTTGTATACTTTGCATTCTTTACCCTTTGTGCATCGGAACAAACCTTTTTTGTTTTGAAGAATGTTAGTAAAACGGTGGCTTTGGGACAGGCATATCTGTAGCTCTTTAAAATTTAAAAGGGAAAATCTCTGACTCATGTTTTTGTGGAATGCAGGGCTTTTTGTCGTCTTAATTGAAGTTGACTTTAACGCCTGCCACACTTTCGTAGCATTCATCCCGGCTCCCTCCGCCTCGCATTCAGGCCTTAAAAACATGCCTTGTGGACTGGAACCAGGACATGTGTGACCTAGAACCAACCCTGCGAGGTTCAGCTGCCTCTCGGGGCTCAAACTCGCATGATTTGATGACTGAACTAATTTATATAAAGACATAATTACACACTTCTGCCAGGTCATTCAGACTGCTCTTTTCCGCAGACTTACTCACTACACGTACTGACTAATTAGACCGTAAAATTAATCCCCTCCCGGTGTACATGTGCTCTCTCTACCAGTACCTTCTATCTGGGGGCAAATATTTGTGGAGCCCCCTGCTGGTGCGACGGTGCGCACTGTGACGGAGGGTCCCACCCGCCTGCCGTGCCAGTTCCATGTGGATGGGCAGAAGGTGGTGCAGGTCAGCTGGAGCAAAGCAGGGCCCGACGGCAGCAGGGACACGGTCATCGCCGCGCACCACTCGGAGGGACACACGGGTAGAGCCTCACCGCGTCCTCCTCCTACTGGGGGGCAGCCTCCACACCAGACGTCTTTTTTGTTTCAAATGAGCCACCGTAGTTAGTGGGAGATTGTTAGAGGGCTATAAACAGGAATTATGACATCACAATGCATTATCCCAAACATTATGAAGCAGTGAAAAGTCTTTCTTAACATGGGTGTATACTGTGTGGGGGGGGGGGGGGGGTTATAACCACTCAATAATGAAAACCAGCCAGTGCAACCCCTAGTTGGGATATGTATTCCATTTTGTTTTGGTATCTCTTCTCCTTAAAATTAATCTGAAATAGCCATATAACAGCCTTTTTGGAAAAATACTAAAAAATCTCTGTTGAGATGGGCTTGAAGCATGGCCCTGCTCTCCCCCACGCCACATGAGTGTAGACCTCAACCCCCCTCCCAATGTTCAACCCAAAGTTACACCCTTGTCTCTCTCTTCCCCCCCCGACCTCAGAGTATGGGCCTTACTCTGGGCACGTCTACTTTGAGAACAGTAACCCCATACAGAACTCGGCGCTGATCATCCGTAACACGGACGAGTCGGATGAGGGGATATACATCTGCCACATTGCCACCTTCCCGTCCGGCAGCTTCGAGGTACAGATGTCACTTATAGTCTGGGGTAAGTTCATTCATCTTACTTCTGCAATAAAAAATAAAAGAATTGATTTTGGAATCCAATCTGACGCCACGCTTCTTGATTAGTCCCACCCATCTCCAGCCTGGACCCAATAGAGATGGTGGAGGGCCAGACCTACCGCGTGGCGGCCACTTGTCGCGCGGTGGCCCGCCCCATGCCCCGCCTCTCCTGGGACACGGACCAGCCCGGCCAAGCCAGTAACCGCAGCTCAGGGCCTGGGTCCGTGTCCAGCTACTTCTCCCTGCACCCTCTGCGTGGCATGAATGGCAAGAAACTGGACTGCCTGGTGTGGCACCCCACCCTCGACAGGCCCCGCAGGATCCAGAACAGCCTCGTAGTGCATTGTGAGTTTTCTGATGCTCGCTCCTTCCCACTGTTTACCATCTCCCAGTCTCCTTATTTATCTTCACTTCTGTTTGTGTGTTTCTGTGTTTCTGTGTCCGTCTTCAGATCCCCCCGATGCGACTGTCAGCGGCTTCGATGAAAATTGGTATGTGGGATTGGAGCAAGCGTCCCTCCGGTGTAACAGTAGAGGGCATCCGAAACCACACAGCTTTACCTGGACCAGGTATGAACGCGCTGTCACTCAATGGCAGATGCTGCGCTCACAGATGTCCTTTGGTGCATCTTTCTTACTCGGCCTCTGATGGAGTTCGTGGCTCTGTGGGTTAGGCCTCTGTGATCTAAAGGTCATCTGTACAAATATTGTGGTCGGTAGAGCGATTTCGCCATTGGGCTCTTGGGCAAGGCCCTTAACCCCGTTTAATCCAGGGACTGGCTAACGATGATTTCTCAGTTGTATGTCATTTCGGATAAGAGTATCTAATGTTTTTTTTTTCTTTCTCAACTGCCTGCTATAAAGCTAACATTACCGAAGTGGTGTTTACTGTACTTCATGGGCAATTAATTATTACAGAATCTATGTGAACTGTAAAACGGACAGTACCACTTACCAAGGGAAACTCTCAGGAGTGGACTGTACCACCTAAACATTAAAGTCACTAATAGGGGGGAATACTAATTCTAACACTTCTTTATCTCTCTCTTTGAGTCCCTCAGTCTCTCTAATTTTCTGCTCACTTCAGAGGGTGAGGTAATCTTATGGATTATGTGATTTAACCGCTTTCAAATAATTGTAATGATCAGTAGTTGTGGGTGTGTGCGTGCATGTGTGAGAGAGACACCCTGACTTACTCACTGCTGGAAAAAATGTAAGGACAGGCCAGCAGTTTTTCCCGTTTGTTTCGAGTCGGTGCAAAGCAGGTGAAGTAATATTTCTGGTGTCGTGTTGCAGCTTGTATAGCAGGAACCAGACAGATTGGAGTTTCACACGCGGGGGAGGGGGTTTGAGCGATTTCCAAATGTGCATGCTTCACTGTGCGGGAGGGAGGAGGGGTTGAGTCCCCAAAGTCGCGTACCCCCATAGAGGGCTCCAAAATGCACAACCCCCCCAGGTCATATTGCAGGGCATGACGCTGGGATTAGTGGCAGCCCGAGCTGTAAGAGTGAAAGGTGCAGCACCTGAGGGTGAGGAGTCCAGCCTTGCTCTGCCTTCCTCTCCAACGAGCTGGGCCACCTCTGGCGGAGCCATCTGCAGACCCGGGCCTGGCCCGTCGCAGCGAAAAGGTGTCGCTCCAGAGCGTGACGCTCCGATGGAAGGCGTGCGCGCTGAAAACAGATTAAACTGAAACTGGGTTTAATTTCCACTGAACACATGTGGCATCCGAGTGCAGGGAGTGTACAGAAATGGGCCAAACCCTGCATGAATAACCCATGTATGAAGAGCTATAAAAATTAGATTGGATGCTTTCAGGAATTGCGTTGTAATTAACGATAAATAAATCATGCTACTTGGGGTGTGATGTAATCGAGATTTTTTTAATCAATGTTTTTTTTTTCTCAATTATTTTTTTAAAACATTGTTAATGGTGCGTCTTTATTTATTTATCGATTGACGAAATGATTGGCTGTGCTAAGGACATTTTTGTCCTGTGCTCAGGAACGGCGGGCCACCTCCGAAGGGCGTAACTGTAAGGAACGAGACTCTGATCTTTGGTCGGCCCCTAACTCTGGAGGATGCTGGCCGGTACCACTGCATGGCACAGAATTCTGTGGGCATGGGGAAGGCAGACGTTGAGGTCAAAGTGTCCGGTAGGTGGGGAGCACAGCTGTCACACGCTCATGCGCTCAGTCGCGTCTCTGCTATTCCGTTTCACCATCCTGTTTATTCTGTTCGTTGCCTGTCAGTGTGACTCTTTATTCTAACCAGCTATTTCCCTGAAATACGTGTCCATGCATGCTTGAAATCTGCATTTAAATCCTCAAGCTCTGGTATGCTGAATGACAGCGGAGTCTAAGTGACAGACACTCACGGTGATTAGATTTGCCACACAGAGCCCTTTGAAATGAAACATTTTATTGCCTTAATGCTCGTAACAAATCTTGAAAATAGTAAAACATACGGGTGAGGCGAGGTCATTAACAGAACATTTAAGTTGTGCTGGTTTTGGTTTTTAATATGTGTTTCTGCTGCCCCCGTGTGTATAATATGTGTAACTGCATGCCCCATCTTCTTCCCTATAGAGTTTCCTCCAAAACCCACATTTGACAGCCTGCTGATGATCATCGCAGGTGTGGTCATTGGGGTGCTGGTGGTAGTTATGGTAATCTCGGTTGTCCTGGTGAACCGCTACCACAAGCGTAAGAATAAGAAGTTGGAGATGGAGCTGACTGAGAGAAAGTGAGTCTGAATGGCAGGCTGTTAGGAAGCGTCCAGGAGAGTCAACTTGTAGCATTAAAAGTGGGTGTTTCTGCTTTCCAGGGAGGAGATCACCACTCTGTCCAGACAGGCCTCCTTTAGGAGAATGCACACCGTCAACGCCGACCACCATATACAGGTACCGGGTGCCCATGCAGCCTTCAGATAGGACACGCATTCACACCCATTTACACACTGACTGACTGTAGGCGTTATCTGACCATGTTTATTCACACTGACCGTCTCTCTCCCTCTCAGGCTGAGGACTGCGTTCCTCTCAGAGTGGAAGGCACCATCCGCAGCAGCCTGTCCTCCCTAACCGCAGTTAGTCTCTCACTTTCTCCTCCTGTCTTCCCTCCCTCTTTCTGTGTCCTCATTATTCATCTGAATCCCTCTATACCCTCACTGCCCCTTGTCTCTATAACTCCCAGTATCCAAGGTTAAATCCTGACTCAAGTAAATCTAATAATAATACAGAATCTGTCTGAAACGGTGCTGTATGAGCGCAGAAGAGTTATTAAAAGAAAGATTCTTACATATTCACAGTGATTATATGCACATAGATGCATATTTTCTGAATTAATTCAAAAAAGAATAATTTCCCAACAGCAGGAATCTTTTATCACTTTCTGCTGCCAAGCATTGGGCCTTAAATCTCTCTCTCTCTCTCTCTCTCTCTCTCTCTCTATCTCTAAATCTCTCACTCTCGCAGGAACAAGGTCGCAGCAGAGACAGCCACTCTACTCTCTCTGGTGGCCGGGGGGGTTTAGACTCCTTGGGTCGACCCGTTATATTCAACTCCTCTCGACGTGGGGAGCGAACGAAGGAGAGAGATTTTGATCGGGAAGTCAATGGAGATGAGACTCTACTAAGAGTGAATTCCATAGTAAGGAACAATGTGTTTCCGATCTGGGTGTTTGTGTATCTACAAGTTGCACCCATGTAATGAAATGAGATTAATGGCTAGTCAATGATGAAGTTCTATAGAAATACTCATTTGGTAGCTAAATCAGCCCATAACAATCTATTAAATTAAATGGTATATTAGCTTGGAATATCTACCATGTAGATAATGTACTATTACCGTAGAGTAAGAAGAACTGCTGCTATTGGTGTGTACAAAACCCATATGAATAGTCATGTTTTCCAATTTATCACTTTTTCCCCCAGTAAATTAGTACATCCTGGACATGAACTGAAAGTTGTACTAATTATCGTTCTAACTCACTCTGTGATGGTCTGTAGTAGGATTCGTCAAAGTCTGGAAAGAACCGTGAGTTAATCCAGACCCAGCTGATAATGTGCCTTACAAAATTTAATTTGCTGGTTTTCAGTAAAAAAAATAAAATAAAAAAATATTTAGAACCACCAAACTTTACACACATGTAGCTCGTCATAATCCCCCCCCCCCCAATTACACAGTCAAAACGATCAGAGACGTTAAAAAGTTTCTTTATTGTTATATATTGATGTCTATATCAGACTTTATTGTTGATTCATTAAAGTTCATGAAGTGCTGCTGAGAAAGATCTGATGTGGACAATCCCTGGTGTCCAGCAGCAGCGTAGAACTTGAATTGTTTGTTAGAGCGCTCTTCTCTCTGTCCTTCAGGATTCCCGTCTCCCTCCTGCGTTCCACCCCCCTCTCCTCCCCTCCCTCCCCCCGTTTGAGCGCACGGCAGACCTCAGGCTCGTTAACGGCAAGGCCGGCATTCCCGGATGTGACAGGGCTCAGCATTCCCCTCTTAACTCGGCCTATCCTCTGCTGACGGACGAGGAGGACGAGGAGGAGCACGGCCAGGAAGATGGAGAGAAGCACAGAGAACACTGCAACCACAACGGCAAGAGCAACAGCACCCAGATCTCAGAAGCTTTGAATAACAACTTTCACTACAGCAACGGAACCTTGCGGCCCAAACCCCTCGCCAACGCGATCCTCATCCACCCTAAGGGTCAGATCGTGTGAAGCCTCGTCCAGCTGGCCGCTGGTTACGCTTGTTCTCAAGGCTCTGCCTGCTCCACCTCCTGGCTGCACATTTGCGAATCTGATGGAATGACAGCTTCTGGAAGATGGTCACATGACCCGCACTCAGCTAGATCTCCCTTTTCTCCATCACTTGGTTATTGTACGGTCATATAAAGAGTTAAGCTTGTCAGACTGAATCAGTTTGACCTGTTTGCTAGGGTACTACACAATTTTTTTTTGGAGAATTCAAAAACGTTTAAGTTTGCCGCCACATTATTCATAAATACTGAAGATGTAAATATTTTTGCCAAAAATTATTACATACTATTTTTTTTACCTTAGGCTTTGTCCAACAATTAGGGAGTAAGACAGTTATGAAGTATTAATATTTTAACCATCTGTATTATGCATTTTCAATGGTCATTGTTTAATAGTTCTGTTAAAGGCAGTTACGAGAGAGGGAGGACCCTGCATTGACACTGGGTATTACTTTTGAATCATGTGAACAAGGCCGATGTATATATGACAGCACACTTGTATGGTACAGGGACATCAGTGTTGCTATGGTGATGGTATGGAGGAAAAAAAGGGACAAGAATATTATATTTTGTACTCACTGTGGTTGAAACTTCAACTGTATAGCAAGCATTGTAATTGTTGACATAAAAGTGTTTAATTTATAAATCCTGAATGGATGAAAGAATTGGTCAGCTACAAGGGACACTCATGACCTACCATTACGTTACAGCTACCACTGCGTGTGACCAGATGGTCGAAAGACAATGGAGAGCTGATCGCTTCAGCTGGCCTGGGTATACTGCATTTTATCGTTTTACGCTGGACTTCAACTGGTTTCCGAAAGGACCCTTGCCATACTACAGAAACCAGTGATTATAGTATTTTACAGAACTGTATATAAGCACCAAAGACTTTTTTATAGGATTGATGGAATGTTTTACAATACTTTAGTGAGACACTTTCCTTTTGGCTCATTTATATTCATGAAAAAAGACTGTATATGTACAGACATGCCCTGTGCACTGCTCTTATACTGGTGATGTTTTTGATACCGTATTAAAAAATGAAAATGGATGGAGCAATCTAAAAACGCACGGAAGAGTCTGGCATCCCACCACTAAAGGTTTATGTGTTTGAATTAATTATGTAGGCCAAAGTTTTCAGCCTAAGTGACTCAGTATGATGTATTGGATGTGTTTGCATGTTCTCTCAGTGTTTCTCCCTACAGTGTAAAGACATGCAGCTCAGTGAACTGGTGTTTCTCAGTTGCCCACAGTGTGTGTCTGCCCGCCCTATGATTGACGAGTACCTCGCTGTAAAATGTCACCTTCCCTGTGCGTTCTAGGCTGACCAGTACCCCGTATCGGATAAACGGTTATGGAAAATGGATGGATTATTTTTAAAATTAAGAATGTGGAATTACTTTCAGTCAGGACTGTTAATCATTCATAAGATCTTCACGTACAAGCTTCTGCTTCATCACCTGACCTTCACAAAAAAATAATTCTAAATGGGTTTTAAATTTCAGTTACATTTAATGGCACTGATGAGTCCCTGCCAAAGGTTCTGGGGTGAAGGATTCTCAGGAACCCGATGAACGACGAGGCCCAGAGGAGCAGAAGCTGAATGTCCCTTTGTCAGAATAAATTATGAATCAACATCGAAAGTTATGACTGTTCAGATCAACAATGGCAAAAATAGATGCATGGTCTGTCTCCAGTATGTCTGTGCTCTGGTTATTTAACCTGAAGGCAGATGTTTTTGGTTACATTTGATTTTATAAGCTATTTTGATGATTGTTCAAAATCAAAGAAAAGCTTGAATGTTTGTTATTGAAATATCACTAATAATAGTAATTTAACATTTTTATGAAGCCTTAATTACGAGTAACAAAAACACAGATGGAGTAAGCCACGATATACTGGTAATTATTGCACAAGAAAGTTTCCAGATAATGTAAGGACACATTGCAGTGGTTTTAATATACTAGAAAAAGGAAACTTTCATTTAACCAGGTAAATTTTATATACAAACACTGCAAAAAAAATTCCACCTCAGAAGAACAAATGAATTCTAAACTGTTAACTTTGTTAATACTGTTACAACTGTGCGTTCAGCTACTTGCAGATAATTCCAAATGCGCAACAATTTTTGTAGAAACTGGTTTGGTTGTGGGGATTTTCTGTGGGAACTGGTTTGGGAGGTATAGGTACTCCGTGGATTTATGTGGTATGGTCTCTATATCAGGACTGGTTTTGGTGCTGCTGCCTCTCCTTGGGGGCTGGGTGGAACTGGAATTGGAAACGGTTTTGGAGGCGCGACGATTTTGGAATCAGTACTTTGATACAAAAATACAGTAGGAATCCATCTACCACACTATCCAAAACCTGTATCCTTTCCCTGAAACGTCATTCTCCCTACAAACATATTCAAATAAGATTTTTATAACATTAACTCGGCCTGCGAAGAGAAAATACTTTTTGTCAAAGACCTAGTCTGCCACCTAGTGGCGTGGTGGTCATAAGACATTGTCCAGGGCCACAAACTCTTCACAGGGATTGACATCCTGCCACTGCATATGTGGCTTCTGCGTCTTTATTTATATATGATGAGATTCCATAAGAAGAATAAAATACAGGCAGTTGTCTTAGAAGTGTTGTAAAGGATTTCAGTTGCAGGAAGGTTTAGGAAAGGACCTGTGTGGAAATTGGAAGAGGGTGAACCGTATGAAAAAGAGATCTAGTGAGAATTTGAATAATAATAATAATAATAATAACAACAACAACCAGTTATTCAATGATCATGTCAAAATATACTGTAGTGGATCAAATCTGGATAAGCTGATGTTTGACATGGGGAGCGACACAGCTCAACATTTTAAGGGACTGCCAATCATTAACTCATCTAAACTGAAAAAAAAATTCCAGAGCACTGACGCCAAAAAGGTGGTGGTGGATTGAGCAATTAAGACAAGATGACAAGGCAAAGTAAAGCATATAACATGGTGAGATGTATGTGTGTGTCTGTAGGTTAGCTGAACAGAAAAGCTGTGTCATATTTCTATGTCAGCTTGTAATGAGTGGAATATTTTACTTTATCAATATATCTGTCAGGCCCATTTGACTCAACCTGTAGTCAAATATATCTGATTAACTGTATCTTTCCCACTTTCACAGTTGGCGTAAGTAGTACTGGAGGAAAGAGCTTCTGGGTGTCGGTGGTAATGCACTGTCAGAATACTGTGCAGCAGCTCACTCAAGCCTACAACTTAAAAACAAAACTAAGCCAGCCTCTGTTTTCATTCTCAATAATTTGTTGATAGCTGTTCATAGCTACTGATGATACAAAAGAACTTCAATAAAGTCTATTAGTCGTTGTGACGTTCAGCATCCTGAGCTCAAAACCTCTTCCTGTGGTTAGTGTGGTCATGTGACCAGTTCTTGCCTGGTTGAATTATTTTACTGGGTTATTACCTTTATTGCAAAAACAAAAACGTGACCACTTTTGTTATTGCTTTATGAACAGTATACGTGATTAAAAATCTCTGTGGAGTTTCGGTGCTCTTCCAGTGTTGCATTTATTTCCTTCTATAGTAAAAAGACAAGCCATTTGGCCAATTTGGTCCATCCATCCATTCATCCATCTTATCTTAGTCAGAGTTGTGGGGAGGCCTGAAGCCTACCCCAGGCAGCACAGGTTATAAGGCTGAGTTACAGGATGCCAGTAATTCAGCTAACTGGTATCTCTGACTACCTGTAATGTGTGAGCACGTGCCCACAATTCCATCCAAAGTGTTCCAAACCTTGTTCTACACTGACTAAGATATGCTGTAGCCCTGTACCGGCTAAATCACTAGAAAGTAGATGGACAGGCATTTTATATATTAAAAAACATAATATTTAACACCGTAATATTCCACATTAACCAAGAAGCAGAAGTACCACCTGAACACAGCATGGTTTTGCAGAACTTGGCCATCTTGATTGCCAGGCTGACATCCAGAACATCATGTCCTTGTGACCCAAAGCATTCAGCCCACCTGAGTCATTGGGAGGTCTTGTGTGCTTTCCTGCTTTCTATACAAAGGTGTCCCAGTCCTTGGTAGGTATGGCATGGCCAGAACAAATGACGATGTAATGCATCGTAATCTATATCATTTATGTATTTCATTTAGGGTCTGCTACATAAATGTTCTTATTGATAAATAAAAAAGTGCTGTATATGTTTATAAATATGAATATACAGAATATGGTTTATATTTTACATTTTCCTATTTTCACCTTTGCAAAGCAAACCATCTTGCGACTCTCCATCTAAGCACTACTGAGAAACAGCTCGTACGGAGATACTGTAACAGTACGTGCCAAGTTATGAACCATGACTGCCGAAAAACTTGAAAACACTGAGACCAGCATTACTGGCAGAGCTACGTGACACACGTCACAGATCTGAATGTGTCTTTTTATGAGACGCGCTATGAAAACATCTTTCATCATCAGCAAAAAGAAAATAAATTGAGAATGCATTGAGAATGCAAGACAAATGATGCATGGACAGAATTGTGTTTTGTTGTTTTTCGAGACGTATTAACTTCAATAACCTTGAAATACGAGGACAGAGACATACAGAACATATTGACTTACGAATGTTTTCATTTCAAACATATGTCCATCATCCTTCTATCCTTTAACGTTGGGCAGGGTTACAGGGAGCTGATGCCAATCCCAGGCAGTTTAGGGTTCTAGGCTGGGCTATATCCTGGACAGGATGCCAGTACATTATAGTAGCGATTCTCCACCCAAATACCTGACCCAAATCCTGAAAGGGTCGTGAGGCAGAGTTTTAAACTAGCAAGCCCCTACGCTGATCCACGATCAGATTTCCCAGCCCCAATCTTAGAATTAACCTATATGACCCGGTCTTGGTTCCGCAAATGCTTAGCGCAAAACTAGTGAACACTCAACAATCCAAGAAACCACACCGCAGATGCTTAATTTAAAATTCACTGGCACATCCAATCAGATTTGTGCAATAGGGACTGATTGGCGTAAATTGCAGAGTGAACTGCGGGCTTGATCATAGTAGTAATTTAAACGCTAATGTGGATAAACGTATACTTGATATAGGGTCGCGACTGAGCTGGCATGGTAAAAATTGGGTCACGGTGCAAAAAAGGTTTAGAACCATGGCATTATAGGGTACACACAGGGGCAGAATTAGGCACAATATGGGCAATTTAGAGATGCCAATTAGCCTGATTATGTTTAGAGCCCTGGTGATGTGTTGCAACAGTGTTGCCCTTCATGTGTGGCATAAAAAAATACAAGGAAAAGGCAAAGGATACTGGTTTATTTTGTTAAATATGAAACACCTCACAGTTTCTCACACAATTGCCTCCTTTTTATACGCTCACTTTTTCGTGAATTTTGGAATGTATTTTTAGGTAAAAGAGAAGAGCAAATTTTTTCCCACAATAGAAGCAGTGGAACGGCTTCTCTCCAGTGTGAACCGCCTGATGCCTCTTAAGATTATTTGGCTGCGAAAAAGTCTTGCCGCACGTACCGCAAGCGTACGGCCTCTCTCCCGTGTGGATGCGCTGGTGGCGGTAAAGATTATTGCGATGAGAGAAACTCTTGCAGCACTGGGGACATTTAAAGGGTCTTTCTCCAGTGTGAGTTCGCTCGTGTTGGTAGAGACTACGCTTATGTGTGAAACTCATACCGCACTGCACACAGACAAACTGCCTTGTGCTCGCGACCCAGCCGACATCACTGTGATTATCCTTCTGCAAATTCTTGCCAGACAGGGTATATCCGTCAGTGTCTGGAAGGTGTGAGTCAAACACTGTGTCCTCATATGATCCCGGGAACTCCGCTAATGTGTGATGCTGCTGGATAAGCTGATTCTGGGCCAAATCCTCTTTTCCCTGCAAGACCTTCACCTGACCTTCAGTTTCCTCCTCTTGGTGACCTGGCCGGTACTGCATGCTTGGATGCCGTGGATTATTAGTGGTCTCTGCTTTATGCTCCATCTCACAGTGCTGGTCTCCAAAGGCTGGCTTCTTCATGCTGTTAGCACCTGGCTCCACAGTGTCTTTGGGGAACAAGAAATAAAAGAACAAACAAACGTAGCCTTGAGCACAGGACAAAACAGCAGTAGCTGTTACAGAATTGGTAGTGCCATTCATTTTAAACAGATACAGATATATTAAACAGATATATTAGCCTCTGTGCTACTCTTCAAGAAGGAGACATGGTTGTTTTGACATACATAATATACAGCTATAGTAAAACAAAATACAAACATACAATTCACTTAGTTTTAGGGGTATAAAGGTGCATAAATGTATAGTGATGAAAAATTCACAAAGATCACATTTGTGATTTTTTTTTCAGTGAAGTTAAAAAAGGTTTCAATTCAAATTATCAAAGCAATTGAATTATCAATTAATTGAATCATGGTAGAAGTTAAAGATTCCTGATGCATCGAATTGCTCCCTAAATAATCATAATCAAACCGAATAATTCATTCCGCTACTTAGTATAATACTTTTTCCCTGATAAATGTTTTCTGAATGGATATTTAAACAACATACCACTGGAGTAGCATGTAGCTGAAGAAAATATATTAGGCAAATGTTTGAATGTATTGTACTTCTGGTACCGATGCAGCTGAATTTTTTGAGAAGGACACTGCATTGTGCAATGCGCTGCCTGGAATAGGCTCCAGCCCCCTGTGACCCTGTACTGCAATGTTTCCCAATCCGGTCCCAGGAACCCGCAGTCGGTCCACATTTTTGCTCCCACCCAGCCCTGTGGACCAGATTGGGAAACACTGCTGTACTGAACAGTCACAGGACACCTAACGATGGGTGGATACCTACCACACATCTCCAGTGGCTGGATCCACCTACTTTCTTCTTTAACCTTCAGTCTTTTCAGCCCATCCGGCGGTACGGCGTCACACATCTCCTCAGCATGGGTCTCCTCCTTCACCAGGAGCGCTCCTGTTCGGTTCTCCTCAATGCCTATACTGTCCTTCACTCCCAAGGCCTCCTCCTGAAACTCTCGTCCACTGGCTTCCTCGTCCTGATGTTCTGAGCGGAGCAGCTCAGTCGGACCCCCCCGAAGCTGTGTTTCATGCCATCTCTCACACCGTTCAAATGCTGTCCTGGGCTCCCCTTCCCCTAAAGGCAGACACCATGCATTAATAGCAGTCACAACAAAGGAAAGGTATTTATTCTGACTGCTATATAGGAAAACATGGCAGTTTTTACTTATTATAGTAATATCACTACAACTGGAATTGCCTTTCCATAGACTTTTCATTCACAATTACGTTTATCACCACATCTTTTCACTTATATTTTTCATAACCCTCCTTCACCCACAACGGTGGTACAAGAATTTCACGATTTTCCCCAAATACATGTGACAATAAAACTTGAAATAAATGTGCACACCTAAAATGACTCTGCAGACTATAACAGTCCAGCTGATTTTTGTAGGGCACCACTGCAGAACCTACCGTACGTTTCCGACGGCTGGATCCACCTAGTTTCTCCTTTCATGCCCAGACCCACCCCTGGGACACTGTCCCACGCAGTCCGCACTTCATTCTCCTCCACGGCAATCATCTCAGACCTGTTCTTGTCAGCATCCACCACCTATAAGAGATCACTGAGGGGATAACTGAGTACAACCCAAGTCTGTATTTTGGGAAAGAAAAAAAAAAACGCACCCAGAAGCAAAAATGCCTAAATGCATAAGACATTTTTGCACACTAACATAACAAGCCATGCACAAAAACACAGGATTTAAATTCACAGGTTTATACAGAAGCTGACCTTGTACAGTCCAAGGCCTGACTCCTCTAGAATGGGCAATTCCTCTTTTCCTCTCCATAATTGGAGGCTCCAGTCACTTCCAAGCTCTCTCTCCACTGGAAGAAACAGCATTCGACATCTAGGCTTAGCTGAATCATGAGTTAAAAGCCAACATATGCAGAGCATGCAATACCAATACCTATGCCATACATCAGTGATCAGTATGAAAAGATCTGCATGTAAAGAACGCAGGTCTCTGAAAAGGACTGTAAAAGGATACTCCTACTTTCAAATGTACTAGTGTGTCTTGGTTTTTATTTATTAAATAGACCTGTATTCTTTTTGCTTTCCACCTTTACAGTTAGTTTACAGACCATTTACTGAAGCGGTAATCTAGACAAGGAATCTGATTCGCTGTTGGATGATTACAGCCCACACCGACAGACGTTATGTGAGCTTACTGTTATATTTTTATCAGTCCCCCGCTTTGCCTGAAACTCATTCCTGCAGATCCCTCAAGTGCAGGGTGTCTGAGAGGCTACCGCAAAGGACCATGGGGATCCACTGGTCGTATTCGACTGATGCTGAATTTGATGCCGTCATTACAAATTCATGAAAGTGATGTCAGCGGGCGATATAGACAAAGCGACGTACAAGTGAGGATCACGGAGCATGGTCAGCCAGTTGAAGAGCCATAAGATCACTCAACTGGCCAGGAGATGAAGACCCACCTTTGGGCACAGAATCTGTAGGCTGACCACGTAATCCATGTCAGGGGGGACACTATGAGCTACTTCAGGTTTTATAAACTACTTAAAAAAATTGACAGGCTCCTTTGCTGTCAATTGTTTGTTTCCTTGATTGAAAAACTCATCCAGCTATTTCACATTAACATTAATGACACGTGCATGATTATAGGGGACTGACCAATCAGCACACAGCAAGAACTCGGTGTTTAAGTAAAATCCAGGGGCCTGTACTATGAAGCGGGGTTACTGGCTTATCGGGGTAACTTGTCGGATTTAAAGTAGTCTGCGCAAAATGTAAGTCAGGGCTATTCAACTCAGGCCCTCGATTCCAAATCCAGGCCTTGTTTTCAGTTCTCCCAGGTAGTTATTTAATAATTACTGATTCTGATTGGTCAGAGGCTTCACACCTGCCTCACAGGTGAAGGAAGGCTGGAAAATCAGCAGGGCTCGGCCTTTGAGTTGAATAGCCCTGATGTAAGTAAACGAATATGAAGTCCATTTAAACTGTGGTACCTTAAATCCGACAAGTTACCCCGATAAGCTAGTAACCCCGCTTCGTAGTACAGGCCACCGGTCCTTTGGATTGAATTGGTAGTTTAAAAACCCTGTCCTAGCTCTTATTGCTACCCCCCCACCGACATGGTGGTCACCCTAGCACAGACCTACACGCAGCTGCGCCCATGTCACTTAATTGCACTGTGCATTGCCGATTCTAGATACCGCTGTCTTATCCTGTGACATGCAGAACGTCGATCTTAGATTTAAAACTATAACAATTAAAATCATTGATCGCCCTGACTGAATCGCACAAGCGGCTTGCTACCTCCGTCCGTCCCTCCCGATTCATCGCCAACCTGAACCCCAAAGGAGCGACGGCCGCAGCTCCCTCCGCGCCCTCGGCCCTTCCTCAGCTCGCTCTCCATCAGCTCCAGCTTCCTTTTAAGTGTCGTGTTCATCTTCTGAGTCTGAGATATTTCCAAGCGCAACACGGCAGCGCCATCATCAACAAGTTTAACAATATCCGCCAACGCTGCTTTCGTTAACGTTTCCATTATAGACGATAATTGTGTGTAAAATGTGCTAGTAAAGTCTGACATTTCAAAAGCCAAATTTTATACTGTCTCTCTCAAAACAATATTGAGTTTCGTTTTGGACTATGATGCTATCTGGTGAATGAGCGTCAAGCAAAATTATTCTATTTCCGGGTACTTCACATTGACGCATAGAAATCGCACGGAAACTAGAACGGCCAGAGTTGCCGATCCAGATGTGTCACACGTCGACCCGCAAACTCCTGCAGCCCTGATTGCGTTAATGTACATAAGTTATATTTACATCCAATATGACGGTTGTGGTAAACAAGCGGACGTTTGCTAAATCTAGAAACATTTTCATTTGCCTTAAACTAATTGAATGATCAAAAATAAAGACTTAAATTGTAATAATTCGTTGGTTTATACTTAAAATTGTTACTGTTTTTAATATGTGAGACAAAACGCTTCTTGTACTAGTTAACAAATAATGAATTGTAATGTTTGTTGCCGTGTTTCTACACTTGTTGAATATAAAGTGGTTAGTCCCCAAAGAAATTGCGCTACGTACTGTTACCATATACAGGTAATGTGATTTTTCAGATACCGCTATATAGGACATTACTAAGTGTAATTCCTTCCAAAACCATTGATACGATTCAGTTTGCTAGGAGCAAAATAATGATATCACAACGCCATGAATCGGTTAATGTGGATAATAAACCTTATATTTAGAAAATAGTTTAATTCTAAATAAAGATTACAGCATTTAGAATAAAATTACATTAATATCTAACACCGTACAGCACCTTGCAATCTATTTTCCTGCGTCTGGAGCACATTGCATGCAGCACAGGGCAACAGGCTGCATGGGTAACACCGGGCACATAGAATATCACACACTGCAAGTGAATCAGAGACACCGACTTGTCTAAGCGTATGGGGAAAGAGCAGAGGTGGGAATCTAACCCATGAACCCTGCAGGTGTGAAGACTTCAAAAATTTCCTTCGGGAAGAATAAAGTTTTAGTGCGTCTCATCTCTTATCCAAATCCAAAGTGAGTGTTCCCTTCTAGCATCTGTATGATTTCTATTGTCAGAGTACAAATCCTATTCCCAGGATAACTTCCTGTTGATGTTGCTTCATATTAAAAGCAACGGTAGAATTGGATTTAGTTATACGTGTGTTACGGTTTTAAATAGCATTAAATGTGTTCTCTACAATATATATTTCACTTACATTATCACATATAATTTACATTATCCATTATCTTTTGGATCATAACATTTGGCCTTCAGTGACCGTATGCAATGGTAATAGAACAAAATACAAAATAAACATTTGAAACTTAAAAAAAAAAACATGCAGTATGTAATATGAAAGATACTCATAAATTATTCATATAATACCGTAGTTATTCGTGCATAGTTCTTACGCACAATGTAGGCTTAAAATATGCCTTAAATTCCACAATAATATTCCTGCATCGTATCTTTAATATGATTGCTTAATACGATTAACATTTTCTCCAATGGCAATGTTGTATCATTTGGAATGAATAAACCTAATCACAATAAAAACATTTAAAAATATTCATTTTATGAAAGGCAGTTACGTCTGATTATGGACCATATTGTAAACCTTTTAAAACGTGCTTTCTGAATACCATGGAATAGGTTTTTATTTTGAAAAATAAAAACTCCCGTTATCACCGGAAGCAGAACCTTACCTAATCCTTATTATGGCTCTTTTACCACAGTGCCGCTCACATTACGGCTTTATTTTAGATTAATAAATACCTAAAAGGTGATGCTTTGCAAATTATCTGGGACAGTAATTGTTTGAAATAACCCAGAGTTTGCCTGTCTGACGTGTACTTTAAAGACGGTCGTGGCTGGAATCTGGGGACAATGTCGTTTCTTAGTTTTAAGACACAATTAGCCTCCATCATGGATATGCTGGTTAGATCAGCGATAGGCGAATTTAGTAAACTTGAGCACAGCCCTGCTGTGTTGCGTTTGGATATGTGGAAAAACGAGGGCGACGAAGCAATGAAGAGGAATTTGCAGTTTCTCAATGAACAAAGGACGGTGGGTTTATTACGGCTGGGGCGCAATATTTACTATAGTTTTAACAATGTACCCCTCAGCAGACGCCTGACCTGGTGGCAGTGGTCTTTTCCTGACACTAGCATGACACTATGGATGCTTTTCTCACCTCTATTTCAATCAGTGTATTTAATTGCATATAGAGCACAATAGCGACTCTCTGCCTTCAGGGCAGGCGGAGCCAAATGTGGGTTCAGATCCTACCTCAGACTGTCTGTATTCCCCTTTGCGTTGTCAGTAGTTGCAAGACCGGTGAAACATTCTGGAAAGAAATCAGTTTTTACTTGGTCAAGCAAATAAACTGTAAAATGTTCAGTCAAGCTTTCGCAATTTATGTGCGCTGCCCGTTTGATAATAAGTGATTTGTCAAATAAGAAATGAATAACAATTTCTCTTCCTCAGTTAGGGACACCTCATAGACTAGGAACATTGCTTTTGGAAATGTCGTTTCAGCCCAAAGACTGATTACTTATAGTCTGCATCTTTGACACCATAAATTTGCCCGTATGGTTTTATGCAGTAGGTGGTGCTGTTTGCTCAAGCTCGTAGGGTTGGAGTCTCTGATCTCACCATGCAAATTCTGTTTGTGTGGAATTTGCATGTTATTCCTGTGTGTCTTGGGTTTCCTCCCGCACTCCAAACACATGCAGTTAGGTTAAGTGGTGCCTCTAAATCGGCTGTAGCTCATGACTGTATGTCACCCGTCTAGAGTGAAAGCCAGCCATTGCTGCCTTGGGGAGACCCCAGGACCCCTGTGATCCTGACCAGAATAAGTTGTTGAAAGATGGAAGGATAGTTTCGTGATTACTGATTCCAGTCCTACATATTACTACTTTGGTCCTTCTGATATGCTTGATATGCATGGTTGTCTTTTTAGGCGAGTATTTGCACCTGCCCCTGTGCTCAAAAAGTAGAATTTTTATCTGCCCCATTTTCAGTATGATTTAATTTTTTTTCCATTTTTGGTCCCCATTTTTTGATCTCTTTGGCTCATATCAAAACTTTTTTAAAATCTGCACCCAACCAAGCATTTGTGAAATGTTTTGTTTTTGGTTTTGACCAGGAATTTTTATGTAGCATACTATGGTAAGTTTTACAACGAAAGTCCAACAACATGTTAAAGGTGACAGAATAAGTGGGAAAGATTCTATATTGCTTTGAGAATTTGCTATACTGTTTATTTTTCATTTTTAGATTTTTCCATGATAGGCAAGCCCAAAGATTAATTTCAAAGGGATGCTGACATTCGAGAATAGCATCAGTAACATCTGCTCTGCCAAGTCATTCTAACGGAAACCTTTAAATACTTCTCATTTTCAGACACAGTTAGCCTCTATAATGGCGATATTGGCCAAAGCTGCGGTGGCAGAAATTAGCAAGCTTGCTGATGACGGATTCGCTGTGTTGCGTTTGGAAATGTCCCGGAGCCAGAAAGAGAATGACGATCTTAAGAAGAAAGTACAGCGGATGGAGGGTGAGCTGAGGACAGCCGGAAGAAGAGCAGAGAATCCAGGAGGTGCATCAGAGAACCGATCAGTGGGGATTCAAGTCGGACTTGAATTAAGAGAATCTGAAAAAGGTAAAAGAATAAAGTTCCTTCATACTTTTTTTTTCCTACAAGGAGCTTAGCAATTTAGGTAATGCTGTTTTCTTTATGGCCACTGGGTGTCTCTCTTCTCTGAGTGCGATGTAGATGTATGACTGTTTGACAGTTGGCTGTTCTGCTCACAGTCTATCCTTAATCAGGTTTCTTCCTTTTGGTGTGTAGTGTAAGAAGTTACTGTGTGGGTGTCCAAATTCCTTTACTGGTCTACTATAAACTACAGCAAAATTGCATGTTTTGATATGAATGCTGTTTTCAGCAGATGGATGTTCTTCAGAACAGGGAGTGCGTGACTTGGGAAAACACCCCAGGTTGTGGAGGGATGGAGAGACCATCACTGTGAAACTAGAAGATGATTTGCCGCACTCTGATGGAGCGAGTGAGGAGGTCTGACCACACAGCCTCCTGATGTACTTGTTATTATTATTCACCCTTGTGGACACTAGAGCTGTATCAATACTGCAGATAACTGATATAACGCGGTTCAGTTTGTCAGGATATCTCATAGATACTGTGGATCTTTGCACTGATTTTCTAATTTATTGCAGTACCGTTTAACACTGGTAGATGGCAGCATGTCATTGTTTATATTTTTTTTCAACATTTGATCATGTAAATACAATGAAGCATCTACTTCTGAAATGTTAAAGCACCAATGAAATGTTTTATTCTGTATTTTTTCCCCACATTTCCTGTTTTAAAAACAAATGTGCACTTTGTGGGCACAATGAAATACATAGTTTATGCAACTAGGAATTCAAGTTTGCAACAACTTTATTCAAGGTACTGACTCAACCATGGTAGTTAAAGGTTTTTAATGCCTGCTGTTAAAATGGCTTGTTTTACATTGTAGTATTTCCATAATTTCAATATTGGGGTGTTAACCATTAGAATACAGTGGTAACATTGTGATGCATTGTGATGTATTGTGATGCATTGAACCGTGACTGATACTTAAACTGGTACCGTGATTCATATTGAGTTATGGGCTAGTTGGCCACATACTGTGAAGGGGATGTAGCTCGTCTGAAAAATCATGAATAGATTGTTCATGATTGAGAGTGTCATTTTTTTCCCTAGGAGGCTATAGACATAGAGGATGACAGACCGGAAATACTACTGATTAAGGAGGAGAGACTGGAAGAGGAGCTGTGGACCAGTGATCTTCAGGACGGAGAGGAGAGTAAGTGGGGAAAGGACTAACAAGAATGTAGTTAAACGATTAAACCCCAAACATCATGGCTGCTATAAACAGCGAAGTGCAGTATTATATTCAGTAAGGTTTAAGGCTGTTAAATACTACAAATCTCTAACATCAATACTGAACAAACTTTTCTTATAACAAAATGTCACCCAAGTTCTGTCAGGTATTTTTTTTCTTTTATTGGGGTAACTTGCTTACAGGGACCCTAAAGGGAAAGGATTGGAAAATATTATTAACCGTTTTACGGTTTTCACTCCTTCACTAAACCTTTGCATCCCTTCATAAATGTTACCTCACAACCCTGTCTTGTGATCTATAAATGCTGTACACTCACTCGCTGCTGTGCCACACATACCCACCGGTCCAGCAGTAAAGGGTCCTGATCTTTTTACTTTGAACTTGGTCTATAATACACAGATACAGGGGTGTAGGAAGTGGGTAGGACGTGTACCCCCCAATATTTAATTTCAATTCATTCATCACCCAATAAATAGACCTTTTTGTTTAAATGATTAAGTTGTGGTCCCTAGTATCAAACTCTCTCATATTCTGTTTATTGTTAGCTCTATGAATTACCATGTTTTCATTTTTTTTTCTGAATTGTGTTATCAAAACAGATTTGAACAAGACTTTCATTCCAACTTATTGGTATTCAGACCCCAGAACATGGCAAAATATTTCAGTCATGGATCTACTAATTTCTCAAGAGATATTTTGGTGAAAAACTTGCATTATACAGCATATACTGTGTTTTCAGTGAATTTACAGTGTATGTTTCTTCAAACATATATTTTAATTGAAAGTGAATTTCAATTCACTTTCAATTAAAAATGGGTGTTATTTGGACAGCGTGTAATTTTTAATTTATTTTTTTTCTTTGTGTCCTTAAAGGGAATGTGGACTCCGGTTCGGATGCGGGAACGACTCCAGTTTTGGAACATTCACACTATAGAGAAGAGAGTTCCATGGAGACCACATGTGATAAAAGTCGGGGGAGAATGGACACGGAAACCTGCTCCATACAGCTGGATTTGGCTGTGAAGGAGAAAGACGATTCCTCCCTCAGCAGGAGCAGCTTCACTGCGCAGAGCCAAATGATAGAATCGGTGATCGAACAATTCATCTGTTCACACTGCGGAAAGAACTTCGATTGTTTTAGCCGCCTCAAGACACACCAGCAAATACACTCAGGAGAGAAACCGTACAGCTGTGAAAAGTGTGGGGAGAGCTTCTCTTATCTAAGTAACTTAAAGAGACACGAGAGGAATATCCACAGTGAAAAGAAATCTATCCATGGTTCATCCTATGACAGGTTTGATACAAAAAGAGTCCATATTAATTTACCACACAGACTTCTGCCTGGGGAGAAGCCGTTCGGTTGTACACTGTGCGATAAAAGTTATCGTAAGCCAAGCCTTCTTAAGAAACATCAAGTTGTTCACACAGGAGAGAAACCATATAGTTGTGATATATGTGGGAAAAGTTTCTCCTATGTGTGTAGTCTGAAATCACATCAGATCAGTCACAGTGGGGAGAAGCCTTTCTCCTGTCCGCAGTGCGGATCCAGCTTTACAAAGAAAGCTAACCTCGAGACGCATTTAAGTATACATGCAGGAGAAAAACCTTTCAGTTGCCCGCACTGTGGAAAAAGCTTTTCCCAGAAAAGTAATCTTAAAGCTCACGTTAGAGTCCATACAGGTGAGAAGCCGTTTTGCTGTGATGAGTGTGGTGAATGCTTTATTCATGCTAATAGTCTGAAAACCCACAAGCAGATTCATACTGGGAAGAGACCTTATAGTTGTGAAACTTGTGGGAAGAGTTTCAGTCGAGCTACGCATGTCAAAATCCACCAGCGCATCCACACAGGAGATAAACCGTATAGCTGTGTCACTTGTGGGAAGTGTTTCAGTCAGAAGGGTTACCTGAAGACCCATCAGGTGGTTCACACAGGAGTAAAAGACTTCAGGTGTCATGTGTGCGAGAAGAGTTTCAGTCAAGCAAGCTGTCTTAAAAAGCACCAGCGAATTCACACGGGAGAGAAACCGTTCAGCTGTGAACAATGTGGGAAATGTTTCGCTTACCAAAAATCTCTTAAAGAACACAAGTGTGTCTCTGTTTTGAAATAGACTGTTTTGAAGTATCTTGTTGATTTCAATTTGGTTTACTGTACCACCATGTTGCTAGTAAAGTCAAGAGCTGAAAGGGTTTTAACAGCATGGGTTACAAGAATCAAATTCATTTGCAAGTAGTTTTAATTAAGTAATGTGACACTGAATATCCAAGGGAGGGTAATTTATCACGTGAGATCAAAAATATTGGCCTGTACATCAATTTTGCATTTTGAATCTAACGTACCAAAAAAGCTTGTTGCTTAATTGAGAAGTTCTGCACTAAAAAGAAATTAATTCAGGAATTGACATTCGTGTCATTAGTGCTAAGGGGATTTCCAAAGTAGATCAATTGAAGGGTGGAAATCAAACAACACAAGTACAAAACCAAGCTTGGTCTTTTTTGTGCTCATGGATTTATTTGTCAACTTCTTGTGAAATAGTGAGTAGTGGAGACTGTCCTGAACACCCAGCTTGCAATGTAAACTGTGAAAAGATGAAATTACCTTCCCCCCCCCAGAACAGTGATGGCTGCCTATGCAAATCCTGCCATTAAAAGTAGTGCCTGAAGTTTGCCTATCGGTACTTAGGAGTCTGAACACAGCTGGTTTATGAGCATTAGGGGGAGTCTTATGACAATCAGAAATTGATGGTATTTCACAATCATGTAGTCAATGCTTCATAGAGATCAGGTTTAAAAGTGAACAGCCTGATGACATTTGTAACAGTACTAGAAGTCAGGCATATAAGTGTCTTAGGATCCTGTTCCTTGTGTTTCCAAACACCACAATAGACCAGTGATACTTCATTGATCCATGTGGGGGAATCTCTTTATCTACCCTGTTTTGTTCTCCATGAGAGACAAACACAGGTGGAATTAAATTGGGGGGTGGGGGGATCACAGCACAGGGTTACCCAACACCCCTGGATATGGGGGGGGGGTTGAAGGCCTTGCTCAAGGGCAGGACTTGAAGTAGTAACCTTCTGATCAGAGGGGCTTAACCTGCTGAGCCTCACACTACTCCTGAGTCCCGACCCAATGCTCATGTCTCCCCTATACAAACCTGAAACCAAGGGCGGGACCCGGCAGTTTCAGACCAAACTGAACATAGTCCCCATACAACCTTAATCTTAAATAAGAAGAAAAGATAAATGTACTGTTACTTTTTAGGTATGGCAGGTGCTCAAGAGAAAACCAAGCAGCTCCGTATGATTCACCAAAAGCCCCGTTATGAACATGCTGGTCACAGAAAACAGCTATTCTGCTCTGGACTGAAAGCCTACATCGAAACAAGATGGAAAAGTCAGTCTCACATAGTTCCACAAAGCCAAGGGTCCCTGCCCTGATGAAAGTAGGGGCTGGGTAGTCGAGGGGACAGTTTGATTACACAGCCCAAACATTTGACTCCATTGGGGAACCCTGGTGTTAAAGGTCCACATTAGGCTGCGGAGAAAATCTTATATTTGCTGCATTTCTTGCCGGAAGCAACAGACTTCCAGGCGTTACGCATCATTCATGGGTGTCATTAAGCTGCTGGCAATTTGCTGGAGACTCTCGGTATGTCTGGGAGACGTGGGACGTCTGAAAATGCTGATCTGTACAGATGTCCCAAGGTGCGGGTAATATAATTCCATTCATCCATTTCCTGTACCCGCTTGTCCTATGCAGGGTGGTGGGGGTCCGGAATCAATCCCACAAGCTACAGGGTGGAATATGGGGAATAACCCAGGACAGCCAGGGCGCCAACCCACTGCCAGGCATATATGCAATTTGGAACCTTAGCCAGTTTCTTGAATGTGGGGGGAAAAAGCAGAGAACCCAGAAGAAAACCCATGGGGAGAACATGCAAACTCCACAGAGGGAGCCGGGGCAGAGACTCGAACCCTGGACCCGGAAGTGTCAGAAACAGCGCTAGCCACGTGCCACCTTGTAATTCTATCAAAATCGAACATAAAACATATAATAGATATATTTATTATTTTATATAAATACATTATTGTGTGTCCCCCATGACCCTGAATAGGACAAGCAGTTTCAGAAAATGGATTGATAGATGGATGAATGCATGGATATTATTGTGTGTGTGTGTATATGTGTGCATGTATATATTAACAAAATGAAATTACAACATCATGATTTGAAAAAGGTAAAGTATCATTGACAGTGTCATTCGGGGTGGTTGCTGGTTGGGGGCGCTGTTTTCACATTTGAATATGATCAAACGGAATACAGCTTGATTTGTCTGGAGTACTTCCATTACATATCAATACTTTCAACAGACAAAGCCAAATTATAGAACTGTTTATTGAACAAATAATAAACAATTGCCCATACAGTGAACAATGCCAGGCCGCACGCTTCTGCGGCAGTTACTGCTGCCCTGAGGGATGCTGGTGTGCAGGTGCTGCCCTGGTCTGCCTTTCCTCCCCAGCTTTACCCTATACAGCACCTTGGGCTTCCCTGTCTTGTGTTTGCGATCAGAAGGTCACCAGTTCAAATCCCAGGGTTGGCAGAGTGATTTCACCACTGGACCCTTGGGTAAGGACCTTCTCCCCAGGTGCTCCAGGGAATAACTGATTTCTTGCTTTCTCATTTTATGTAGCTTTGGATTAAAGCATCTTCTAAATAAATGTGATGTAAATATGACTTTGGAGAAAATTAAGAGACCACTATATTTTTAAAAAATCTGCATTTTTAAATCCTGGTTTAATCCTGATTCTACTGGCAGAAGGCTACACTGCAAAACAGGCTGGTTCCAGGCTCAAAGTTTATACGACAGCACAAGAACAAGGTGAAGCAGGAGACACTGGCAATGACCAAAAACCAGCCAAGTAGAGGGCAGAAGCAACTTTCTAATGCCAGAGAGACCATCAACTTATCAGGCAGTGCCTCGTAAATCAGAGGATGACCTCAAGTGACCTTCAAAAAGAATTGGAAACATTAAGTGGTTTGAAATGCACAGCTAGGACAGTTTGTATCAGGCTCCTAGAAGCAGGACTGAAGACCCATAAAGCAAGGAAGGAGCCCTTCATCAATGAGAAGCAGGGAAGAGCCAGGCTGCAGTTTACAAAAAAAATTTATATTTTAAAATGAGTGAAACCAGGGGCGTTTCTAGCTACTGAAAAGATCAGGGGCTAAGTCAAGTTTACTTCGGGCTTGACTTTTTGTATTCTTTGAAGGATGATTGGCATCAGGACTAAAATAGCCGGGCTATAGCCCCGAGTCATCAGGCCTAATGATGCCTGTGAGTAAAACTGAAAAATTTGCTGTGGTCTCTAAATTCTTTCCAGAGCTGCGTAATGTTAGGGGCCGGGGATGTTGCTGGGTCGGTTAGTTTACATAGTGTGTCCCCATTCATTTTAATTACAATCAGACCCCCCTAGTAAGGGCTCAGCCCTGTGCAGGAAGGGGATATCATCCCAAGCAGCAGTGCCACGGGCTGGTTTGCTCTGTGCACCGGTGGTTGCAAGAGGAAGTCACATGAGACGCTGAAGGGCTGCAAGACTAATTTCCTGCTTTTTTTTTTTGTACTGTTTTATTTTCTTATGATTGACATTTGCATAAGGTCATTACAGTGGGAAATTTTACAATTTAAATTTAGTTTTTTATGTTTCCATTGGTGCACGTGTGTATTTACAAGCAAAATACATTTGATCATATGAAAATGAATGGAATGCTTTGTTTTGGTTAGACTACTCTCCTTTGGCTGATGGCCTGCAAATGAAAGCAAGGTTAGAATGCATGGGGGTTCACTGGGTAGCACTGTGGGTTTGATTTCCACCCCTGAATCTGCATTGGCATGTTCTCCGTTCATGTGGGTTTCTTGCAGGTGCTCCAGTTTTCTCTCACAAAAGCCTACATTGAGGTGAACTGGTGTCACTGAATTCCCCAGAGTGTGTGACTATGTGTCCTGGCCTTGCGATGCTCTGGCATCTTGTCCCCTGTCTCATGCCACTACTTTGATTGTGTCCAGGTTCATCATGAACCTGTACTGCAAACGTTATGGAATATGGGAGAATGAAAGAAAGGGAGTAATGTGTAACTGCCTTTCTAGCAGTTCCAATCAAACAATTGTATGAGTTAGAGATACTGGGGGAGGGGTTAAAATGCAGAGAATATATAGTGAACAGTGCATACTGTTTGTGTTGCATGATTAGTGCCATATCTAATCCATGCAATCAAACATAACAGAAATTTATTAAATCATTTAAGCACAGATGATGATAATCTTTTTCTTGCATATATATAAAGGTCTCATAGGGTGCTTCTGCATATCTGGTGACAGTTAAGCAGCAGTTTGACACTGTGGTGTAATCTGACTGATGCATGCTGGGAATGTGCTATTCACACTGCATTTATAGCCTCTGCTTTGCATGGGGCCTCATAAGTGGGTAGTGGGTGATGAAGATCTGCTGTTATGGAACAAGCAGAAGTGATGGAGGGGAAGAGTTACAGGGTGGTGTCTCTGCCTCCCTGTCTGTTATGAGTGAGTCACTCTGGCTGGTTGGTTGCACTAGATGTTGCAGAAGACTTGCTGGTCTCATAAGAGCCAAACATGCATACTGTCAATGATCATACTCCTGTGTTACACAGCAATCAGTCACAACTAGTTTCAGACTATTATTATTATAACTTGGAAAAACCCAAAATAAATAGGTTAATGTTTCATTTATAAATTGTTAATCACTTCAGATATTTTCTAGGCTGATATGCCACCACCGTATCTGAAATATCTGAACTCCATGTTAAGATACTTAAAAAATGGACAATGAGCCCCATAACTGAAACAGACTGTTGCGCTGAAGAAAGCGTTGACCAGCAGCACAGGATATCAGAATGAGTGAAGTTTGCCTGGTGTCAAGTGTCAGGTTTTTATTGCAAACAATAAAATATGCCCTGTGCAATATGTGCAATATGTGCAATATGCTGTGATGTGTTAGCATTTTAAAAAAGTTCATTGGCTTACAAAGCTTCTGCAGTTATTTAAGAATTGCATGGCTCAGTAGGTTGCAGTGGGTGTAGGGACTTCATGAGTCAAACAGTTTTTAAATGTTTCTGTCCGGAAATTGTTGCTTCTGTGGGTTACAGATATAGAGTTCCTGAACAGTCAGAGAGCCATGAACCTGCCAGTGCGAACCTAGTATTTACTTGCTTCCTTAATATAATAAAAGGCTGAGTAGTTTGAATCCCATCTTAGATATCAGTATACAGCACTTTGCTAAAGTGATATTTACACAGGGGAGAAACACACTTTTTCACAGGTTTTGAGAAACATAGAAACGAAATAGTGTGAAGGTGTGTCTTTCAAATACACTAAAATCTTCCCTTCCTTCCCTCTGTGTTTTTATAGAATGTTGATTCATATTCAAAATGAAGAAATATTTCAGGGAACATTACAACAATTTTCTTCCTCTTCCTCTGTCT